GTCAAACATGGCTGCGCGAGGGGCTTGATGTGGGGGCTGCCATTGACTTCCCGTGGGCTGCTGGCCGGGCCGCCGCGCCGGGGCGGCGCACCTTGTAGGCATTTTTGAAGCTTTTGCTGTTCCCGTAGATTGCCATCAGGCTTGCGTAGCCATCTGAGCTTCCGAGGCTTTTGTCGGGAATCAACCCCTGCGCAGCTGCAGGGGCCGAATACAAGAGGGCCGCCATGACGGCCAGCAGCCACGACCGCGCAGCCGTCGTGCGGCAATGGTGCGTGCCCGTCGCTCGGGAACAACAAGCGCATCTGTTGAGGGTGCATCCTGCAGGTGTGCGATGAGGCATGGGCTCACAAACGCGCGCGACACTTGATCACTGTGCCGCATCAGCGGCGGACAGGGCAGCGGCACTGCGGGACACAGCGGCGGTGTCGCGTGGAGCGCGACCACGTCCGAAAGGACCAGCGGGTTCTGCATCCCCTTGATACCGTCAAGACCAGGCTCACCGTGCCCATGCTTATTACGGCCCTCCGCTCTCCTGAAGGGTCCCATGATCACCCGCAAAATTCGGGGTGACACTTTCAATGCGGCGGTATCGTACAGTTGGGATCATCAAGTGCTTCTTTGCAGCAGTGCAAAGAGGATAGTGGCCGCGGCCTCAGCTTCGCACCAGCTGGCAGCCACGCACCGACACCCACGCCCGACTTCGGTGGCTCCCCCAGTGGTTCCCGACCGCCGTCTCATGACAGTAATGACACCATATGGGCGTTGCTACGGGGCGCTGCTGGCCGCGGCTTGCGTTGCTGGCATCCTGCTGGCATCCGTCCCGCAGGCTGATGCGGCGTGCACCAAGCTGGGGCCGTTCACGCTGAAAGAGGAGAAGGCGCGCAGCTGCGCCCCAGAAAGCGCCCGGATGGACGCCGTCAACGGCTGCCTGGGCATGACCGGCAGGTGCGAGCACCGTGCGCCGATGCACATGCGCACAGAGTCCCCTCCGAGCCCCGCAATGGATGCTAGGAAAACTGTGGGACGCCAGGGGCCTCGGCAGTAGCATGGCCGAGGCGGGCCGGCTGGTCAGGCCACTTTATCCAAGCTGATGATTATTTTGGATGCTGTCAGGGGCGCCGAAGCATCGCGGAGAGGGAGGGGCCGCAGCGTTTTTCGCTCTGTCCACATCTGCGCCATCCTGATGGACCCTCACTGACCACCTCCCGGAGCCCCCATCGGACACCTACTGCTTGCCCCAACATGCAAAACCCCACAGCCTGATGGAAAAGTACACCAGCTTGAAGCCATGCGTCACCGCCTGCTCTGGTGCCTTCTTCACGCTGGCTGAGTTCAAAGGTGAGCACAGGGCCCCACATGCCCGCACCTCAACCCCTCGCCCCCCTGCGCCCCTCAATCCCACATCCCTAGGATACGCGTACTTCTTGCTCATGAAGCTGGCGATTGCCCTGCTTCATTCAAGGCACTTAGCTGCATCCTACCTGGCCCTGTCCTTGGCTCACCCCATCCGTGCCTTTGCCTCTGCGTCAACAGCTCAATTCTCCCAGTTGCCTAACCGCCCAATCGCCCGGCCCCCATCCCGTCAACCGCAGCTTCTTTCGCTGACACCTCCTGCTCCTACACCGGCACATACCACTGCTGCTTTGAACTGGGAGCCGCAAAGACAGCCCCTGCCAAGGCAGCTGAGAAGCCGGGGCCAACCACAGCGCCTGAGAAGCCCGCGGCCGTCCGAGCGCCCGAGAAGCCGGCCGCCGCCCAGGCGCCCGCGAAGCCGGCAGCAGCTGCAGCGCCCAAGACGCCAGTGGCTGCCAAAGGGGCACCTGCAAAGGCGCCCAAGGTGTCATCACCCGCACCGGAGCCCCAAGGGCCTTCGGGCCCAGCCTTCTACCCCGGCATTCCAGAGCCTGTGGCGCCTCCCCCGGCCACGCCTGCGCCCAAGCCCAAGGCCATGGCCGCCCCGGCCCCAACCCCAGCCCCGGTGCCAGTTCCGGCGCCAGCTCTACCCCTTGCCTTTGCCCCTGCTCCAGCCCCTGTTGCAGCACCAAAACCCAAGCCGACTCTTGCATTGCCTGCCGACCCCGCCCCTGTACCTGAGCCGGCCCGAAAACCCGCGCCGGCCTCAACCCTTCCGCCGGCGCCAACTGTTCCAACCGCGGCGCCGTCCGACGCCTCCGCCGCCACGCCAGCGCCAGCGGAAGCGCCCTCTGCGCTCGCAGCGGCTTTTGCTGGCGCGTGGAGCGGCATGTTTACATGCGACGTCTCTGGCCAGATGTTTGGGGCGAACAGCCAGCTGAGCAGCCGCCTAATTGCAACGGAGCAGGGCGCAAAGAGCGGCACGCTGTCGGTTAGCTCACGCGAGCAGCTCGAGAGGCCTGCCCTGGGATGCAAGTTCGAATGGAGCGGCACCTGCACCCTCGGCGATGCCGGGGCGTGCAGCGGCGGCGGGACGGCTGTCACGTGCGCCGTCTCGGCGCACGCGGTGTGGTCTGACCGGTGCAGCATTGTGACGGTGCCGAGGCTGCAGACAATCTTGGTGTGCGTTGCCGGCAGCACGGCTCAGATTGTGTCTTATGTACCCACGTGTTCCCGTGCCACAGGCACTTTGACACGCGCTGGCGCCAGTGGGTAGTTCGTTGCCGCGTAGTGATCAGGGGCGCCGCGCTCGCTGTACACGCTGTGCAGCTTTGTCACAGCTAGCAGGTCTATTTTGGCAACTTCCTGTGCAAACCCTGTCTTTCATGTGCATGTGCACTCGGCGCCACAAACCTGTAGAGCGTCGCACTCGGCTGCCTTTTTGCTGCCCTTATCCCTGCAAGGTTGTCTGCAGGCTTTCCACACCCATCGGCGTCTTTGCGCCGATCTTTGTGCTGGTCTCTGCGCCGATCTCTGCGTACACATCAGTACTGCCAAGAACACCGTAGGGTCGGTCAAACCTGGATACAGAACACTTGTTCACCCCAGGCGGCCCAGCTCCCCCATCACTTGCGCAAGTTGATTTCCATCTATAGGTTGTATTCGTGCTGCTTTGCACATCCTGATCACACACCGGCCAGGAACTGGATGGCCTGTTGCATTGAAAACTTAGCCCTGCCGCAAGGTGCTGTCCACCCTCGGGCGCGGATGCACCCTGCCGTGTGCTGTGATGGCCTCAACAGCGCCTCTTCAAGTCGCACCGTTTTGTGTGCTGATTGCTGTAGCGCCCCAAGTATAATCAGCACTGCACCACACCCTGCATATTTAAAACTTCTCTGGAGTGGTTGTAACTTCTTTCTCGGCAAGGTCACTTTTCGCTGATAGTGGCTGTGTACATGTGCTGGTCCATCACGCAGAGGCTTTTCGCACAATATCATGGATCTTTACTGGCGGACAGGGGAGCGATATACACATATCAGAGCCGGCATGACAGCCCAAACATGTCATTGTGTTCTTGTTCACGGTAATTCAGACATTCTGCAAGCCAAACAAGCAGAGATCTAGCTGCAGTGTGGACCGTTTGGGGCCCAACTTGTGCAAGGCGCCGCCCTTGCCTGCGCTGCATATGCAGCACAGCGCCTGAGTCATCAAGCAGATGGCAAGTAGCAAGCGCAGAATAAAAGTGGGGCCAAGGGCCTGGGCAAAGATTGGCCACAGTGCAGCTGCTTGTGCAACTTCGAGTGCAGAGGATAACAAATGATACCATCTACTGTGGTCAGGCAGCCGCTGCGCTTGCATGCCCTTGCCCTGCTAGTCGCTGTCCTCTTGGGCGGACTCCCCCTCCTCCGCTTGCTCGTCCTCCTGCTCGTCGTCCCCAGAGCCACTGCTTTCCCAATCGTCCTCCTCACTCGACGAACCCCAGCGCCCCCTGCGGCGGCCCTGACCGCCGCGCCGGCCGCCGACGGCACGCCCGCTCACATCCCCCCGGTGCGTCGCTGCGTGTTGCCCGCGCGTCGTGCGGCTGCGGCCGCGCAGCGGCAGCTGCGGCAGGGGCGGCATCTCCTCAAGCGGCGCCACATCGGCCGTCTCGGCCGCTGCGGCTGACCGGCCATGACGCCCGGTCCCTGCTTCCACAGGGACCAAGTCATCGCCGCCGCCATCGCTGTTGCTGCCCGAGAGATCATCCTCCATCCCATCCGCCCCGGGGTCCTCCTCCGCCGCTCCAAGATTGCCGCGCTGCCTCTTGAGCTTTCGCCTGTGGCCGCTCAGCTGCTGCTCCCTGTGGCGCGCAAACTCTTGCAGCGCCTCCCTGTGCTGCCGCTTACGGGCTGTGCGGCCCTGTCCATTCACACCGCCGCTGCCTGGGAGGGCTGCGGCCATGGTTGTATCAGGTCCAGCTCGCCCACCGCCGCCAGTGCTGCCCCTGCCACGCCTAAAGGCAAGGGGCATGTCCGAGTCACTTCCGTCGCTGTCCATGTCGCTGCCGCCGCTGCCGCCGCTGCTACCATCGCTGCCACAGCGGCCACTCTCATCACTGCCATTGCTGTAGAAGCGCAGCTTGTTGCCTTGGTCGGTGCTGCCGCCGCCGCTGCCCTGGAGGGCGAGCTGCGTCGGCTGGCAGCCCTTCCCTTGCCCCTGCCCCTGCTGCTGTTGCTGCTGTTGCTTGCGCCTCTGCACCCGCTCGTGCTGTTGTTGTTGTTGCTGCTGCTGCTGCTGCTGCTGCTGCTGCTGCTGGCCCTGCCGCCGCCACTGCTGCTGCTGCTGCTGCTGCTGCAGCGGCAGCGGAAGCTCTACACCAAGATCAGCGGCGATCTGCTGATCCGCAAGCTGGCTAGCAGAAATGCCGTCTGCACCCCTGCCGCCCCGCCCCTGATGCGACATCACATCGCCAACCTAGCCGCGCCAGGGCACAGTGAGAAACACCACGGTGATGTCAAAAAGCGCAGCCCTCTGATAGACATCATTCTAGCTAGGGCCGCATGGAGCCCTATCATGACACCTGTGCGCCCCTGGTGCTGCACGGCCACCTGCCCCCCTGCAGTCCCCAAATTTAAGCGTGGTACATCAGTCAGCACGCCCCCCGCATGTCACGCGCCCTGCCTGCTCACCGCTGCCAGCCGCGCCGCCGCCTGTGCGGCCGCCACCTGAGCCGCCGCCTGAACGCGTTTGTTGGCTGGCCTGGCGGCCTCTTGCGGCCATTCTTCAGGCGGGCTCGTCACGTGCACCTGCCAATGGGTCAAAGTGTGTCATTGGGCAGGTGGTCTTGCGGATTGCCATTGGCTGCTCATCAGCAATCGTCCACTCAGGCCTCTATCCACCCTGACCTTTTGTCCTCGAGGGACACGACGGACACAGTTGCAGCCATGCTTTGCGCTGAGTTCTTGTAAGCACCCAGTGCTTGGGACCTTTATCTAATCCAACCGCGTGCGTCTGTTGCCTTCCGTCACCATATCAGCTTGCTGGAGGCCTAACAGTCAGCATGCATGTGCACACCCATACATGTGCAGGCACACACCTGTCGCGATGGCTGTGCATGCAAGCATGCGCGCTCGCGCTTGCACACACACACACACACACACACACACGCACACACACACACAACAACGTGCAAGTGCACCGATACCGTACCTGCTGATTTGCGTCCCAGAGCCTGAGGATCTCCGTATCATTGTCGTCGTATGCCACAGTATGTCGCACCTGCAGGGGGTCGTAATCGACAACCTGGGGTGGGCGGGGTTGGGGGCATGGGACATGAGTGTGCTTAATGACTCATGACAGGGTCTCTGTTGAGCAGTAAGGTGCGGCAGGCAGAGGAGCGATATCTGTGAGGTGAAAAATTTCTGTTTGTTGGGGGAGGGGGGTGGTCAAAGCAGGACTTGGGGGGAAGCCATGCCATCTGGCTCAAGTGCAAGGAGGGGAACGGGGGCTGCAAGGGGGATGGTCCTGCACGCCACAAGCCGCGAGATGCTTGGGTAAGCAAGGGCTCGACGGACCCAGTGGCGCGCGGCATGAACAACAGCGCCCCGCACAATGACAAGGCGCCAGCGCTTGCGCTACGGTCACGGCCGCAACGGCACATAGATTATGCCACTGGAAGGCCACGACGGCGCCATGGTGCATTGCTAGGCAAGCGTGGGGGCCGCTTTACATTAGACCAAGCCCTTGCCAAGACCTTGTTGCTCACTCCGCTACGCAACCCCCAACTGCCCAAGTCGACCTTCGCAGGCCTCAGACCACCCACCACGCCATCGTACCAAGCCTCGTCCAGCGGCCACCAGACGCTGATCCGCGCCCCCACCGCGCCCGCGCCGTGCGCCGCGAGCCACGCGCCCTCGCTGCCCGCCGCGGCGGCCTCGCGCGCGCGGCGCTGCAGGCACCTGTGTTGCTGGTTGCCGACGCTCTGGGTGCACGCCTCGCACTGCATGCACCTGTTGGTTGTGGGCGAATAAAAGATCCGCGGAGCCGCAGCAGGTTGGGGATGGGGCTAGGGGCAGAAGGGTACAAAGGGCCAACCACAGCAAGCGATCCCTCCAAACTGCCAGTTTGCAGCAGAGTTGCAGCAAAACAGGGCAGGGTAGATAATCGAGTCCACCACCCACAGCCTCCGCTCTTCCCTGCCCCGACAAACTCACCCACCACACCCCACCTTTGCTTCGCATCCAGCGGCACTGCACCCTCGGACAGCGCCTCCGCACCGCCCGCCAGCGGCGGCACAAAGCGGCGACCTCCAGCCCCCCGACCGCCCCCATCCCCCAGCGTCTTCCTTGAGAACAGTGGCGCCAAAAGAGCGTCGTCGTAGTCATCAAAGTCGCCCTCCGCCGCCTCAGCCGCCGCACCCGCCGGCGCTGTGGCTGTGGCTGTGGCTGTGGCGG